GTTGTCGGGGGCGCGGTGGAGCACAAGTCGCTCAGGGCCGCGGCGCTGCACGGGCCTGCCGCGCGTTTCCGCCGCGTGTCCCCCGGGCGGTGACCTCCCGTGACCTCCCCGCGCCGGCGCCGTCCCATCCTTTGCTTCGGGTCTGTTTGGCGGAGCTGGTGTGGGGAGTGGAACGCGGATGCGCCGGACCCCCGACGGAGGGAGGAGCGGGCGCCAGCCTCCCGCGGGGACCCCGGGTCCACCACAGCCAGCGCCCCGAGCCGCCCTGAGGTCACGCCGAGGCCCTGCCCTTGCCAGGCGGCCGGCCTCGCCTCCGCCTCGTCCTGAAGCCCCAGAGCCGGTCTGGTCGCCCGGGTGGCGGCTCATCCTGTATTCCGAGCACGTGCACAGATGGGAGGTGTGAGGCTGGCGAGGGGAACGCTAATCCAGACCGCCTAGCCAGACCCTGCCGGAGGAAAACACACACATACAGACATCCACCTACACAGACATGCCCACACAGACGTGCACACACACGTGCACATACAGGCATACACACAGAGACGTGCACAGACATGCACACATAGACGTGCACGCACACGTGCATATAGACATGCACTCACAGATGTGCACAGACATGCACACACAGACGTGCACAAACATGCACCTACACAGACCCACACATGTGCACATACAGACATGCACACCGACGTGCACAGACATGCACATACAGACATGCACAGAAATACACAAACGTGCACACACACACGTGAACATACACGATTTTGGATTACTTTGTCTCCTCACAATCTTGAGTTTTAATCCCAGATCTTACAGTTTAGTAACTGTCTGCCCCAAGTGCTGAAACTCAGGAAGGCAAACAGACCCAAGGAGCAGCAATCTACTTTCCGAGAAAGAAAGGGGTGAGGGTGGAGAACTTTCACTGTGGACCTCCGTGTGTCCTGTGCATTGTCATATCAAGCCTCCAATAAAACTAAAAAGGCTTTTCAATTAGTTTGTTCTTAAATATGTGTAGTCGAATGAATAGAGTTTGTTCCTGTGAGCCTCCCTCCTTTAAGTTGACAGCCTTTTGGTTTGGTGGGGAGAGGGTCTAAAAGTAAAAGTGTTCAGTCCATACAGAAATTAAAGCTGTGAGTGGGGGTTAAGTGGTGGTTTTCAGACTGCAGCGGCTGCTGCTCCAGGATTGGAGAATTAGCCTCAGAGGCATATAGTCATGTTCTCTCCTTTTAATCCTGTGTGAGTCCTGAGAGAGAGAACACAGGAAACTAAAGGTCATCCCATTGACCAACGTCCAGCTGAAGCAGACTCTCAAAAGCCCCCTTCATGCCCCACAGTGCTTGGAAACGCCCGTTGGGAGAACAGCTTCACAGATACCAAAAGCGTGGAGTTGTCCCAGCTGGCATCGCTCACGGTGGACAGGAACAGCAAGAAATGAGGACAGAACCACTGAAGAGAAGAGGGAGAGGACAGAGGCTTCTGGCATCCTCTAGAATCTGCACAAAGAAGTGTCTGGAACCAGGAGCAGTGGGCAGACACATCAGTGCAGTGAAAGCGAACTGAGCTTCATTCAGCCCCACAGATTGGCCTGCCAGAGCCCCAATGCAAATCCCGTGTGACAAAGGACAGTGCAAATCCACAAGTAGGTCACTGCCCTTCATGAGTCCAGGGAACAGTCCAGCCCCAAAGTTTAGCTAGCCGGTGAAACTAGTACACGCACTCACTCTGTCAATTCTATGCTACCTGAAAGTGACGTTTAAGGCAATGACACATGTAGTGACTGTATAGTCTGTCGTTATTTATGTATTTATTTATTTCAGTTGTTTTCTGACTTAATATTGGTCGCTCATTCTATGTGTGGCCACAGAGCTCCACTGCAGGAGTGTGTGCAGACACACCCACTCTGGAGCCCCAGCTAAAGACATGTGCACACCAGCGCCAAAGACCTTATGTATTTTCAATGGGCCTCCATCCTTCAGACGCTGATAAAGAGCCATAAAGTTAGCAATTTATGCATTTTATTAGTAAACCTGATAGACCTTAACATCCAAAGAATGCTTTCCAGCCAGGCACTGTGGATCAGACCTGCCTGTAATCCTAGCTACTCAGGAGGCTGAGATCTGAGGATCGTAGTTCACAGCTAGTCTGGGCAGAAAAGTTCTTGAAACTCTTATCTCCAATCAGTCAATTAAAAGCCAGAAGTGGAGATGTGGCTCAAGTGGTAGAGCTCCAGCCTTGAGCAGAAAAGTTAAGAGACAGTGCCTAGCCCTGGTGAGTTCAAGTCCTAGTACTGGCAATAAATAAATAAATGTTCCAGGACTTTAACCTGTGCAACACTACATGCTTTCTTTTAAGAAGTATATAAAATTTCAATTAAAAAAAATAGATATCTGAGGGCTGGGCAGGTGGCTCAGTGGTAGAGCGCTTGCCTTGCATGCATGAGGCCCTGGGTTCGGTTCCTCAGCACCACATAAGCAAAAAAGAAAAAAGCTGAAAGTGGCACTGTGGCTCAAGTGGTAGAGTGCTAGCCTTGAGCTGAAGAGCTGAGGGACAGCGCCCAGGCCCAGAGTTCAGGCCCCATGACCGGACCAAAAAAAAAAATAGATAGCTGAACTGTAACCCCTCTGCACAACATCTTTATAATAACAAAAAAATTCAAAAACAGATGTTTGTTTTTTAAGGTGATAATGATGGATAACGCAGAGGAGATAGGCGGCCTGTGATCCCACTCTCCCTCCTTTTCCCACGCATTATCTCCCTTGCCATAACCCTTGCTATCACGCTGGGCTAAACTGTCAGAATACATGTTATTATCCTCCTGCTACAGGAGAGCTTACGGGCAGCCTAGGGACAATGGGCCTAATGAAGGAAGGCAGACCCGGCTCCAGACACCCTGATGGCAAAGCTTCTGGTCCTTCCCGGGAAGTGCAGAGAGGCCTGGAAATTCTGCCCACTGTAAAAGACATAAATACTGTGAGAAACCTTTCTAGAAAAGGAAGAAAAATGCCTTCATAATGCATCCTCTCTCCCTGCCAAGTCTAGCAAAGACTAGACTTTGCTCCATTTCAGGTGGGTAATTTCCAGAGGTGAGGAGGCCCTAGTTTATCTGCTAAACACACACACACACACACACACACACCAAATCAGGCCAGGAGAGGTGGTACATGCCTGTGACCCTAATACCTAAGAGACTGAGGTAGCCTGAGAAACATAGCCACACCCTAACTCAAAACAAACACAAACACGGTTGCCCCAATAAAACAACCAAAGGAAATAAACAAAAAGTAAAAGCCATTTCCAAGCCATGAGAAAACAAGGCAACCATAGAACTACACTAGGACGGACAAAGGGTGACGCACTGCCCAAGCCCGCAGGAGATTCTGTGGTCCAGGCAGCCCCAGGAAGGGAAGGGAGAAAGGGGAAGAGGAAAAGAGGGAAAGAGAGCAGGAGGGAAAGAAAAGAGAGAAAAGAAGTCTCATTTTGGGCCAGCCTGGACTCCATAGTGAAACCCAGTCCAAAGGATAGAAGGGAGGAAGGGAAGGGAAAGAGAGGGGAGGGAGAGGAGCAAAGAAGGAACTTTCATATTATAATATTCAAAATGTGACATTCTACGACCTTCACATAAAGCCCGTGTTCCAAAGGTTTATGACCTTCACCGACATGGGAGGCAGTGCTGCTCCCAGACAGACACCTATTCAGACCTGGAGGCCCTTGAAGGATCTGCAGGATTCCTATCACAGCCCTTGGTGCGTAGGCACTGCATCCCATTCGCCCCTCCGAATCCATCACACCTTCTCTCGCTCGCCCGGGAGCCAGGAACCTGCTGCTGCTCAGTCTCAGTGGCTTTGTTCCAGCGGGACTGGCAATGGGAAAGGCAGTAGCCAAAGACCAGGTGGGGAGAAGGGGTCAGGCCTGAGGGCCGGCAGCTGGCCCTGTCCGTGGGCCGGCCCTTGAAAAGGAACATACTTTCCTGCTCAGTGCTTGCTGAGAGACTCCTCTGTCCATCTTCCCGGGGAGATTGAGCCCCTTTCGGAAGTAAGCATGAGGACACTGAATTCATTGGCTTTTCTTTTGCCATTTTATTTGCTACTGGAAAATGGAGTCTATTGGTTTTAAAAAGGATGTGTATGCTATGGGTCTCTGAGTCCCCCAACACATTGTCCTCTTCTATATACCTTGTAATTTTTGAGTAGTCCCCCACCCACCCACTTTCTCCTCTTCCTGCATCGTCCCCACCTCCTCTCCCTTTCCTCCCTTTCCAGCTACCTTTCCTCCTGAGGAACATCCCAGCTGGGAAGGCCCCTGTGGTATTGTTGGTCTTCAGACTGCCACCAGAGTCAGGGGCTCCTGAAGCAGGCGGGTCTGCCTGGCATGGATTCCAGAACCCCACCAGTGGCTCAGTCACACTCTCAGAATGGTGCATCCCAGATTGATGATCCGGCCTCTCCTTCCTCGACTCTCTCCACAGCATCCTGGGGATCCCTTCTCTTGATCCAGGCCAATGCCCTTCGCTGACTTCTGGGGTAATTCCTTTCACGTGAGGCCTTGGTTCAGACAACCTGCCCAATCTTGCCCGGACAGTCCACCCATAACCTGTCAATGGCCAGAAAAGCCTCGGGGGCTGTGGGCCCCAAGCCCTGGCAGGAATCATGGCAGGGGTGAACCTGTCACCATGGCCGGTCTTGAGGACACAAGGAGGGTGCGGCTGGGAATTGCACTTGCAACAAAAAGCCACAGCTGGGCTTGCGCTCTGCACTGTGGGGGGCCAGTACAGCATCTTGGGGGCATGGACATGGCTGGCCCCAGCCCCCACAACGCCTCACCTCACTTCACCTCACCTCCATGCGCCTCACCTCCATACGCCGTGCCTCACCTCACCTCCATATACCTCAACTCACCTCCATACACCTCAGCTCACCTCACCACCACACCATACCACACCACACCAGCACACGCCAGGGTCTGGATTGAAGCCGTGCGTTGTGTGCAGTGCTGGGAGTCCGGTATGTGCAAGCAGAGGGCGTGGAGGAGAGCTGCTGCTGTCTGTGCACTCTGCCCAGCGCCTGCCGCCACTGCACACCACACGTGCCCGGGTCTGCGTTTGGGACAACTGAAGCTTTGAGACTCAATAGCAATGGGGCTGGGGCTCCGGAAGGACGGCAGGAAGAGGAAGGAGTGTAGGGAAGGTGGCAGGATCTAGACATGCTGAATGGGCCAGCTACTGAGCTGCTCTTGTTTTTTCGTCTGGACAATGAGTGAAGGAATGCTTGTTGAGGTTCTAGAAAGGACCTGAGGTGCAGCTGGTGCTGTCTGTGGGTGTTCAGGTAGTGACCGATGTCCCTGCTAGGACTGTGAGTTAGAGACTGGGAAACAGCGCTCATTGTTAACAATGCCAAGGGCAGCTGCCAAAATGAAACCGTCTCTGAGGGAAAAAATTGGATCTCTCCTGCTTGGGGGGGGGGGGAAGAGGAGGAGACTGGGTGTGCCCAGTGGCCGAGCACTGGCTGCACACGCAGGAGCTCCTGGAGGCCATCGTGGGGGTTTTAGAACATGAGGTATGGATTCAAAGCTGCGCATTTCTTTTCTTTTTGCTGGTCCTGGGGCTTGGACTTTATTCCTGAGCCTCTCTGTGCTCAAGGCTAGTGATCTCCCACCTGAGCCACAGCTCCAATTCTGGCTATTTCTGATGGTTAATTGGAATTAAGAGTCTCGCGGACTTTTCCTGCCTGTACTGGCTTTGAACCATGATCCTCATACTTCAGCCTTTTGAGTAGTTAGGATTACAGGTGTGAGCCAAAAGTGCCCAGCTTGAGTATATTCCTTTTTGGACAATGTCACCCTTTCCCTCACTCTCTCCCAGTTTTTCCCTCCCATCCCCACCCACAAGTTGTATAGTTCACGTTCAACCTAGTGTCTAGTAAGTACTACTGCTGCATTTGTTCACCCTTTGTCCTTCCATTTCTGTGCCACTATTCTGTTTTGAAGAGAAAAATACCCCAAACTCTTTTCTAGCCACTGCTAATCTGCTCTCTAGTATGTTCTGTGCAGGCAAAACGGCCTCACATTTACTAAGCTGCTTTGAGGTGGGCTGGGGGCCCTTCTGCTGCCTTCTGCCCCAATTCCCATTCAGGCAGAACATCCCACCTGGCGCCAGCATGGAGTTAGGGTCCACTGGCAGCTATGGCTCTGGTCTGAACAGGCACAGCTGCACCAGTCATTTTGATGGACACTCAATCAGATGACCTTTAAGATCCCAGTTTCCTTAGGAAGGCAGCTTAGAAAACCACTCTTCTGTGTGTGTGTGTGTGTGTGTGTGTGTGTGTGTGTGTGTGTGTGCACATGTGTTCTGCACATACTGAACGTCTTCAAATACACTCTTTGTCTCTACTGAATTTAATTCAGGGACTCCAAAGGTGAGTTAGTAGGGGCTTTTTGTGTTGTTTTTGTAAAATACCAGGAAAAAAGCAACAACTTCAGGGAGGAAGGATTTGTTTCTGCTTGCAGTTTTAGGAGTTTTGGTCCATGACTGGCTGGCTCTGCTGTTTTGAGCCTGGGGCAAGGCTGATCATCCCAGCAGCTGGGAAGCTGAGAGACAGGATGGGTTCAGAGATCAAGTATCCCACAGTGGGAGCTGTCACCCCACGGTGATGTTTCCTCCAGCAGGCTTGGCTCCTATGTGGAGTCATCAGTTAATAGAGTTAGTGCCCTCATGATCGACCAGCTCAAAAACCCAGGAACAGGCAAGCAAGCCCTGACAAAGCAGCCTTTGGGGATATCATCGGACTCAAACAGTGACAAACCTAAGAAGTGACAAATTTCACATCCATGGCTAAAATACAGAAAATCATTCCTGACTCTTGGATTGATGACATCTTTAAGACAGGGGTGTACAGCGATTTCCAGGCCTTCTGGAAGCTACTGCTCAGCCCCCTGCCCCAAGTTCAACATCACCCCACAAGACCTGGTCAGGATCCGAGCCTGCATTTGCCTGTGGTCCTGGGTTCCATATTCTCAACCACTCAGAGACCATGGAAGCTGTGGCGGTAGAGTCCCACTGTGATCAAAACAGCCGTCAGACACACATCCTTGGAGCTGGGTTGTATAGAGCATGTGTTTGCCTCAAAACTCTGTCTGGTACATAAAGACAATGCCCTGCATGCTCCAGTCACTTCGTCTCTCAACTAGCTTTCATCATGTGTGTGCCTGTACTGGGGCATGAACTCAGGGATTGGGTGCTGTCCCTTGGCTTCTTTTTGCTTAAGGCTGGAGCTCTACCGCTTGTCCAGCCCTTACTGGTGTCCAGAGTGAACCTCAGAGGCTGTGCAAAACATATCCTACCTGCAGGGGGCGCCCCAGCACCCACCAGGTTGCCTGAAGCCCAGTCCTCCCGCTAACAGGTGTGTTGGCCTTCACTCCCTGCGTTGCAGGGATAAAGAGGAATGTGAATGGCTGTTTGCTCTGATGGAGCAATTTTAGAAGCCCTGTTTGGCCTGGAGGTATACATGTGTACACACACACACACACACACACACACACACATACACCATTCAGGACTGGGATTTGAACTCAGAACCCTGGACTTGCTACACAGGCTAGCCTCCAGCCTCTTTTCCCATTCTTCAGACAGGGAGTTGTCTTTTTTCCTGGAAATTGGCCTCTGACCATGATCTTTCTACCCATGCCATGCTCTGTTGATTGGTTGAGATGGGTCTCACCAACTTTCTGCTCACACTGGCTTGAAAACCTTAATCCTCCTGACTTGCTGGCATTATAGGTATAACCCACTCTACCCAGCCTGCTTGCTTTTTGCTTTTTGGAGCAGAGGCACACTACGCAGCCCAGGACTGTCTTGAGCTCACGCTCCTACTACATCAGCCTCCCAGGTGCTGGGATGGTAGGCATGCACTACCACACCTGGCCTCTGGCTGGTCCTGGCCCGGCCTCCTGCTCACCGCCGCCCTGCTTTCTGTCCCTCCAGAAACTGAGCGCGCCCCACCCTGCCCAGGCTTCCTTTTTCTGAATATCCTTCATCATCTCTCTGTTAAACAAGGTGTAGCTCTTTTTAATGAAAGAGTACATGGAATTTAAGTTTTGTGAGGCCTTAACAATCTCTAAGAACGTCATGGCTCTCTCCCCATTGTCAGGAGCTCGGAGGTAAAGACAGTGTCTCGGTGCGCCAGTGGGCTCCCGCCAGACGCAGACTCACGTCATACCTAAGCAGGGCCTAACTGTTTCACAGTTCTCAGTAGGTTAAGCATGAGGCCCTGCGGGGAGGGAAAGTGGGAGAAAAATTAGGGAAGGGGTAAAAAGATTGACAAGAAAGGTACCAATTACCTTACTTATGTAACTGTACCCTTCCCAGTACATCACCTTGACAATCAAAATAAAAATAAAACAGTGAGGCCCCAGCTGGGTGCCGTCTTGTCATCTGAGCTACCTGCAAGGCTGGAGTATAAGCCCAGGAGTTCTGGACCAGTGTGGAAACATAGACCCCACTGCAAAAAGAAAAGGAGGAAGAGGAAGAAGAAGAGGGAAAAGAAGAAAAAGGAGGAAGAGGAAGAGGAGAAGGAAGAAGAAGAGATGGAGGAGGAAGAGCAGGAGGAAGAACAGGAGGAGGTGGAGCAGGAGGAGGAGGAAATAAGCAAGAGTGAGTGGGATACCCATTGTGTGCAGTCTGTTTTCCCTGGAGGCGGCCTGGTAGGAAACGCTTCCTGGGAGAGTCATTCTTTTCTCCATTCTCCTGCCTATCCAAGGCAGCCAACACATGACAGGCAGATGCCTGGGGTGGTCTCACTGGTCCTTACGTGGTCGTGTACTCACACTGGTGGTAGCATTGGTTCTGTTGCTCCTGGAAGGTCCACAGGGCAGGAAAGCGGCCTCCAATTCCTGCTGGGTGGTGCTGGGTCAGGATGCCCATGGAGGAGGGAGAGTCCTGAGGCGTGGCCAGCCCTCAGTGTCACCTCTACAGACTGCCAGCTTTGAACCTCGCTTGGGGATCGGCTTCCAGAGGTGCCCCGGCCCTCCAGTCCACATGCTTTGGTTGCATTGTTTGTGTCTCCCTTCCTGTTCTAGACGGACAAGTCTTCCCAGAAGTTTTAGAGAGGCAAGCGCAGGGAGCATAAGTCTTCCCAGAAGTTTTAAAGAGGCGAGTTCAGGGAGCATGAGTGTGCAAGCACAGGTGTGTGAACGCGGGGGCCACCTGCTGGCAGGATTTTGTAACACTCAGAAGTCAGTATTTTCTCTAAAAGCCTTCAATTGAGTCAAGCAAAGTCAGCTGACCAGAGGATTAATCTTATTTTAATAGTCCTCCTAGAGAGGCATTTGATCAAATCTGAAACCATGGCCTTGGCTAGTTTGGCAGGTAAAAGTAACATTATAATGTACTTTGAATTTAAAGTTGTACAAGAACCAAGAAGATCAAAACTTCAAATTTTGTCTTAAGCAAATATTTTGGAAACATTATAATAAAAATACTGACTCTTAGCTGGGCATCAGGGGCTCATGCTTGTCATCCTAGCTACTCAGGAGGCTGGGATCTGAGAATCACGGTTCAAAGCCAGCCCGGGGAGGAAAGTCCAGTACTCTTATCTCCAACAAACCACCAGAAAACCGGAAGTGGAGTTGTGGCTCAAGTAGTAGAGTGCTCGCTCACCTTGAGCTGAAGAGCTGAGGGACAGTGCCCAGGCCGGAGTTCAAGTCCACGATGGAAAAAAAAATACAAATGCTTCACTGAGGGGGTCTATATGTCTGTTTTTCTTTTCTTTCTCTTTTTTTGTCAGTCAGCGAGACTGAACTCAGGACCTGAGCTCTTCAGCTTAAGGCTATCAGTCTACCCCTTTGAGCCACAGCACCTCTTCTGGTTTTCTGGTGGTTCATTGGAGATAAGAGTCTCGTGGGCTTTCCTGCCTGGGCTGGCTTGGAACTACAATCCTTGCTCTCAGCTTCCTGAATAGCTAGGATTATAGGCATAAGCTACCAGTGCCCCACAGTTTTTGAAATTTAGAAGAATCCGAATGAGTCAGGTGCAAGTGCACTTTTCAAAGAACCTAAAACCGAGGTTTTTGTTTTCTTTTTAATCTCAAAACTAAGAAGCAGGGTGAATAAATGCAGCAATGGTATTCATTGGACACTATGTTGAAAGTGAACTAACTCTACAACTTGTGGGCAGACACAGGAGGAAAAAACTTGGGAGAGAGTGAGGGAAGGGGTGACACTGTCCAAAAAGAAATGTACTCTTCACCTGACTTACATAACTATAACCCCTTGTATATCACCTTTATGATAAGAATAAAAAATCAGAAACAAAAACTAGGAAGCAGTATCCTGTGAAGGGGAAGGGGAGGAGCTATGAGGAAGCCGAGGGCCATTGGGTTGGTCAAAGCCACAGCATGAGCCCTGCCTAGCGCTTGCTGTTTGTTATCTGGATGCTCATGTTTCTGTTTCTTCTTTTCTCGTTAGGTGTGGTTTAGAGATGATTTTGGCTACACACGATGAAATTGTTCATTATGGTCTCTGTCTGGAAAATGCAGCTGCAGCCCCATCCAGGCAGCCCAGCGTACAGGCGGCCTTGGGGCCAGCGGAAGCCATGTTAAGCCCACACGTGGTAGTTATTAGAAGACTCTGCACAACGAGGCCCTTCTGTAGCTCGTCTCTGCATGACGAGTACATCCTGCGAGTGCCACCTCAGGCAGAAGAGGGCTGTGAACTCACGACCTCGCCTTATTATGGCAGGGGATTAGGAAAACCCAGCTGTCCAAGTTCAAAGAACAGAGTGGCTTCTGAGGCTGCCCTGACGCCTGGGCCAGGTCCGGGCGGCTGTCCTTTGTGCTCCCCGACAGGAGGCCCCATCTCAGCTATAAATGGAACATGGCAGAAGATAGAGCAGCTTTTTAATTAGGTCATCCCGGGTCTGTGCAATTTATTTCCTTTGAGTCTTTGCCATTTTTTACCCCAGACTTGGTCCCTTTGTGATACTGATTCAAGGTGACGTGAGCCGGCTCACACGCTGCCTCTCCTTCCTCCCTCTGGTCTGTCTCTGTGCTTCTGTCACCTCGTGTGTGTGTGTGTATGTGTGTGTGTGTGTGTGTGTGTTTTAAATCACTCTCTCGGGCTGGGAAGGTGGCTCAGTGGTAGAGCGCTTGCCTTGCATGCATGAGGCTCTGGGTTTGATTCCTCAGTACCACATAAGCAGAAAAAGCCAGAAGTGGTGGAGTGCTAGCCTTGAGCTGAAGAGCTGAGGGACAGCGCCCAAGCCCAGAGTTCAAGCCCCACGACTGACTCCCCAAAAAATCACTCTTTCCTGTCTCTCTCAATATTTTTTTTTCCTGTGTCAGTAATGGGGTTTGAACTCTGGGCCTGGGAGCTGTCCCTAAGCTTTTTTGCTCAAGGCTAGAGCTCTATTCCCAGGGCCACAGCTCCATTCCCAGCTGGTTCTTAATTGGAGATAAGTATCTCCTAGACTTTTCCTGCCTGGTCTGGCTTTGAGCCACGATCTTCACATCTCAGCCTCCTGAGTAGCAGGGATTACAGACAGGTGTGAGCCACCAGTGCCCAGACTGTCTAAATTCTTCTGTTTCTGTATTTCTGTCGGCTTCTGCCAAGCCCTCTGATGACAGGACGTGGTGACACTGAGGTTTAGATAGGCCTCACCTGGCCTCTCCTTGTGGGACTGGATGGCTCACCTGGGGCTGGGCGCTCTCCTGGTCCTCCTGGGATTTCTTACCTTCTTCCCCACCTCGTGGCAGGATGGGGCGGGGAAGGTTGGCTGAGAGGGGAAGCTAGGACAGTGAGCACAGCTGGAGTGTCCCTTCCCTCCCCAATGCCTAGGAGCCAGGGAGGGAAAGAACCTTGTGGGGCATGTGGGCAGCAAAGATGGCACTGAGAGGGAGTTGAGTGGGCAGAAGCTCGTGGAAGCTTAGGTGCATGATAGGGTGTGACCTTTTACAGTGATTGGTTGGTTCCTTTTTCTCCCCATGCCACCTAGTCTCTTTTGCTTTAAAAAGTGCTTGCTGTGTGTTAATAAATGAGTTCCTGCTTGACAACTCCCCACTGCGTCTGATTGTCTCCCGGGTTAAGGGAGGCTGGGGAACTTTTCCTCAGACCCTGTCCATCTTTCGTGGGACGGACAAAGACCCGACAGAACCTCTCCAGCAAGTCCACCTTCGTGACTCTGTGCCCAGACCTCTGCACTGCAGGCTGGCCCTGCTCCCAGAGAGAGCCTATGAGTCCCTACTTCTGTCCCCAGCCTTGTAAAAATTCACCCGTGTCCCTCTCGGCCAGCCTGTGGCCTCAGTTAGCTTGAGGAAGCCTGACTTCCGGAAGCCCCAGCTCTTGATCCTTTGGGGCGCGGGGCTTCCCAGGATGACCCAAGTCAGGCAGAGCACTGTGGCGTGGTGAGCAGAGCTGCTCACCTCCCGCTGGCTGGGGAGCAGGCCAGACGGGCAGACAAGTCTCTTCCTGCTCACCCAGTGGTGCCTGCTAGGCCTCTCCTACATGGTCACCTCCTGGCAATGTATCCCACCGCTAGCACATCAATGGATGGAGCCACTGTGACATCAGAGCCCTCGGATCTAACCCTGTCCCCAAAGTCCATCCGCTGACCTCTAAGCCCCCAGTCCCCGAGCCTCTGGGACATCTCAGATCAGTCTGTACCCAAAGCAATCAAAAACCTGGACAAACACTCCCTTGCCACCAGAGCCATGACAGGGCTAGCCAGCCACAGCGGAAGCCCCCGAAACCCTGGGCCAAATAAACCCTTTCTCCTCCAAATCAATTCTCTCAGGAATTGGGTCACAGCCACTGTCGTGACACACAGATCATGCAGAAAACCTGTTGGGTTTCTTGTGGAATCCCATTTTCCTTGGCCACTGAACCACTTTCTGTGGCTCCTGTGGCATGGTGTAAGGATGGCTGCTGAGCTGTGATTGCTGTGTCATCACTTTTTTAGACTGGAACTGGAGCTTAGTGACCCAATGCTTTGGCTCATTGGCTGCCCCTGTACCTTCTGCACCATGCCGCTGACCCCCAAGGTTCTTTCTTTTTTTAAAATCATTGTCTTCTTCATGTTAGGTCTTACAATCCATGTACACAGGCTATGGTCCTTCTTCTTAGTGTCCTCGTAAAGTGCTTTTAGCAATGCTTTATAGTTTTCAATGTTCAAGTCTTTATGTACCTGATGAAGTCACTTTTTATATTATTTTATTTATTGTAAATTAAAATGGTTTTATTCCTTTCTTGGGGTTAGGGTGGAAAGTGAAATTGATTTTTTGAGTGTTGGTTTTGCATCTGGAGAATTTGTTCTTTGTATATTTTCTTTTCCTTCCTTCCTTTCTTTTTTTCTTTCTTTCTTTCATCGTGGGGCTTGAACTCTGGGCATGGGTGCTGTCTGTGAGCTCTTTAGCTCAAGTGTTATTTCCGGTTTTCTGGTGGTTCATTGGAAATAAGAGTTTCATAGACTTTCCTGCCCAGGCTGGCTTTGAACTGCGATCTTCAGATGTCAGCCTCCTGAATAGCTAGGTTTATAGGCATGAGCCACTAGCACCAGCTATGTATTTTGTTTAACACAGTCTCCTGGTGTTTCTGCATGAAGGATGATTTTGTCTGTGAACAGAGAATTTCACTTCTCCTTTCTTTCTTTCTTATTTATTTATTTATTTATTTTTGCTGGTCGTGGGGCCTGAACTCTGGGCCTGGGTGCTATCCCTCAGCTCTTCAGCTCAAGGCTAGCACTCTACCACCTGAGCCACAGTGCCACTCCCAACTTTTTTGCTTATGTGGTGCTGAAGAATCTAACCCAGGGCCTCATGCATGTGAGGCAAGCACTCTACCACTGAGCTACCTTCCCAGCCCACTTCTCCTTTCTTGATATCGGGAGAGCTTCCAGCCTCCCTGGAGGCTGCCGTGTTGGTAGACAACATTTCCTGAGCCAGGTTGGCACAGGTCTGGAGTTTGCAGGACTCCCTTCCTGAGGCAGGATGTCTTCACCAGAACCATCTCCACCAGAACCACTTCAGTGCTGTGATGTAGGCAGCTCCCCTCCCTGTTTCAATATCTCGGAGTGGGTGCCTGGCATGGATGTGCATCGTGAGTGAGGCCTGTCTGAGTTTGCCACTGCTGGAGGCCAAAGAGGAGAATAAGTGGAATGTGCTGGAATGTTTGGCAAGCAGCAGCAGAGGCAAACTGGGGGATGAGCTGCATCGTGCGCCCCCAGGGCTGAGTTTGTACATCCCCTGTGTGATGCAGGAGGCCGCTGCCCAGTCCGAAGCAGCCTCTGCGAACCGGGGGGCATGGAGACACCCTCTTCCCGACCCCTCACCTGGCAGAACTGGAGGGCTGATTCTGCGCCCACTGGAAACCTGGGCATCCCACCCCAGCACCTCCCCAGGTCGGAGGAAAGTCTCTCCTCCCCACCGCACCTGCACCCTGTTCCTGGCTGTTGCAGCCTGAGTGAGGCACCGAGTGCTCTCAGTCCCAGCACTGGTCATGCACAGGGAGGTGCTGCAGAGATAGCCCAGGCCAGGACCAACATGCCCTCCAAACCATACCTTCCTGCCAGGTGCCAGTGGCAAATGCCTGTCATCCTAGCTACGCCGGAGGCTGAGATATAAGGATGGTGGTTCAAAGCCAGTGTGAGCAGGAAAGGCTGTGAAACACAAATCTCCAATGAACCACCAGAAAACTGGAAGTGGTGCAGTGGCTCATGTGGTAGGGTGCTTGCCTTGAGCTGAAGAACTCAGGGACAGTGCTCAGACCTGAGTTCAAGCCCCATGACTGACAACAAACAAACAAACCATACTTTCCTGACCGGTAGCAACCACAGGAAAGTAAGTAAACAGAAAGCAAGCTAAATATTCCTCAGGGTGGTCAGGAGTGGGGGCTTAGGCTGGGCCTGAGGCAACTGTTGGCCACTGGCCACACGGCATGCTTGGGGTGGGCAACACTGGAGCAGGAGGGAGGCAGCGCTGCCTGAGGCCTGGGTGGATAGCATGCAGTTAGCACCATGAGCAGCCCAGGCTGGTAGGGACCCCACCCCATGCCTGGGCTGGCCCTATGGGACAGTGCGGCCATGTGTGTGGCTTAGGTCCATGGTTCCAGGCATGCTGGGGGTCTTTAGACATATTGCTGCTAGCAGATGGAGGGGAAGACTGTAAGAAAACATCACACTGTATCACAAATAGGACAAATAAAAAAATGTGTGTCCATTTGTAAAAATGAGCTACACACAAGAAGAGCTGGTCAGGAAGTGAGAGGCTGGGACACATTCCAGATGCACGAACTAAGTCAACTGGGTAGGATGGTCATCAGCAGATCTCAGGCCAGGCCACCCTGGGAAGCAAGTTGTTGATCCTCAGCCCCTTGGCTCCCTGTCTGCAGGAAGGGGGTTTTAATGGCCCTCGGTCTACCATCTCCAAATTCCAGAACCTTCTGCCACTTCGAAATTTAGAGAGATAAGCCGAGCACTTTGGGAAACTGAGGTGGGGTTCCCAGCCCCTCCCCATGGAGGCATGGCCCACTCTCCCCCTGCCTGGGTCCAAGGGAGACTGGCACTGCCACAGTGCCCCCCACAGCCCCAGACCGCAATCCCCACTCCTGGCTCTCTTCCTTTGCCTTTTTGCCTTGCTGGGGGCAGGATCCCAGAATGACCTCTGTCCCCAGCCTTGTACATTGAAAGCTGTCCCCATCCTGTCCTGTCCCCGTCCTGTTCCCATCCTGTCCCCGTCCTGTCCTGTCCCTTGTCCCATCCTGGCACTCCTTTGGCTCCGCACCCTGCTTTGCATACCCGAGCTGTCTAGCAGGTGTCTGGCAGCCTCCTAACCCAGGCTGGCCTGGCTCCCTGTCCTATGCTAACACATGTAGGGAGAAAAAAGCTAGATCATGTGGCAACAACGTATCCAGATTTCCCAGACAGCTCCCAGTCTAAGTAATTTTATCCTTTTGAAAACCACAACATTCTAAGTAGATAATTATATGAAAGATAATTACACTTGTTTATTAAGGAAGGATCTATGCAGACACTGTAGCAAGCATAATTGGAAGCCAGAACCCCAAGAATTTCTGCCCTTCTTCCTGGGACCCCTGCTTAATCCCAGGGGATACCCACCCCTGCCCACGCCCGATGGAAGATGGCGACTTTGGTGTTCTGTGTGTTACATGGCAGAGAGAAATTGTTCAAGGGGGGGTGGGGCTGACCTTACTGTGAGTCCCCCCCAGTGCTCTGTGGATTTCGGGGTGCAAAGCTATGTCTTGGTGGGGGTGAGCAGCCAGGCTCCTGTCACCGGCACCTCACTCGGTGGCATCTGCGGAGACAGCGGGTTTCCTTTCCAGCCTGGCTTCCAGTCCAAAGGCTCTGTGGATTCCAACTCAAAGATTGCTTTTGGCTGGCCAACTGTCTAGGCATTATCTAGCCCAGCGGTGGGCATTTGGGAGGCTCCTGTGGGGGCGTGAGCAGGTCCTCACGGCTTGCCTTTGGGCCCATCTGAGTCTCACACGGAGCTGGTGGCTCTGAGGCTCCACCCAGGGGTAAAAGCCAGAAGCAGTCCAGCTTCCCGGAGGGGCAGCTTTCCCGGCTGCACACAGGGCTATGTGGGAGTGGGAAGGTGAGCCCCTGCAACACACCTATGTCTCACACCGATGCTTCTTCCATCGCGTTCCCTTCTCCCAAGGAGATCTGGGTTGGTTTGGCTTTGCTTTTCATCCTGTACAAAAATTGGATTCCACCTGAGCTTCTAAAACTATTATTTATGACATAAGTACTGGATACTGTTATTTTTAAGCCAGAGCTATGTGTGTGTGCATGCAGGCATGCATGTGTGTGTGCGTGTGCATGCATACGCATGTACATGCACACCAGTCCTAGGCTTGAAGTTCTAGGCTTGAAGTCTGAGAAGTTTATTGTAGATGAGTCTCATGGACTTTTCTGCTTGGGATGGCTTCAAATCACAATCCTCAGATCTCAGCTTTCTGAGTTGATGGGATTACAGGCATGAGCCACCCACACCCAGAAAACTTGGAGGTTTTATATACTCAAACCCTAGGTTTTTCTATCTTAAATACTACCTTCACCACAAATTAAAATACATATTTGGGAATCGTATGCCAAGACATGACTCATTTCTTTGTCTGCTTCTGTTTTTTGCAATAGGTGATGGTTTTCTATAGAAAGATTTTGAGGTAATAAAGTTATTGAAAAAAATACTGAGATTATTTTGATTGATATATATCTTTTTTGGGGGGGGTCCTGTCCTGGGGCCTGAACTCTGGGCCTGGGAGCTTTCCCTCAGCTCTTCAGCTCAAGGACAGCGCTCTACCACTTGAGCCACAGCGCCACTTCTGGCTTTTTTCTTATGTGGTGCTGAGGAATCGAACCCAGGGCCTCGAGCGTGCAAGGCAAGTGCTCTACCACTGAGCCTACTTCTCAGCCCCTGATATATATCTTATTATACACATATGATATAGATATAAATGAGTCACAATTCCTTTATTTAACATACTTCCAATAAAAGCATTAAAATCAGTGTTCTTAACCCTTTATCTTAGTGTGCACAGACTGACATCTGAGCTTCTTTTACTCAAGGGTAGCACTCTACCACTTGAGCCACAGCACCACTTCCAACTTTTTCTGTGTATGTGGTGTTGAGGAATAGAACCCAGGGTTTCATACATGCTAGGCAAGCACTTTACCACTGAGCCACCTTCCCAGCCCTCTGTTTCTTCTTCAATCTTGTTCTCAGCAAGTTCATCACGTCTGTTACCTTTGTCTGTGTCAGTGTCAGAGACCCTGCCCCCGGCAGAGGCCATCCCCTCCCCAGCCCCACAGATCCCATTTCCGCACAGGTTTCTCTGAGCCTCCCGGACCCCCACTCACTCGCACAGGGCGGAGGGAGTGGCTCCGGTGCAGCCCTGTGGCAGCCATGTCTCCAGGTGGGGGCAGCTGGGCCGAACTGAAGGCCAGAGGAGTAGGTGTCTGTGGGGCGCTGTGGGTGTGCCATCCTCCCAGGTGGTTTACCTGCACCACTGCTGCCTCTGCCCTGAGGTGTGCATCCTGCCAACCTTTTCCTAGGTAGTGGGGCTGAGGCCACATTCTAGTGCAGGTGTCCAGTCCCCAAGCCTGCTGCCTGCACCACTGCACTGCCCACACCACCAAGATGCCTCCATCACCACACTGCCCGCACCACCAAGATGCCCGCACCACCAGGATGTCACCAACAACAACATGCCCCCACCACCACGCTGCCCCCACCACCGCTGCCTGCAAGCCACGGCACTGTCCACCCACCCATAGCCCCAGGCCTCTGAGGTGACCATCAGGCAGGTGAGATCACCAACATCTCCACGTGCCTGTGTGGTGACTTCCCTGTTATCAAGGGCTGCCGCTGCTGAGTAGATGGGCCAGTGGTGTGCTTTGTGTGTCTCTGATGCTTCCCTGCTAGCTGCTCTCGGGCGTGGCCGCACATCATGGAGGAGGTGGATGGATAAAGCCATCAAACCTGAAAACACACCCCACACCTTCCAACTAACAAGGAACTCATGTGCTACATGTGCAGGACAGTTTGCAGACCTCTTTGTCTTAATACAGGATGCGGCTGGGCTCCAGACATTGTCTAGCATGCATCGATTTCCTGCTGAAGAAGATCCTGGCAGGAGGTGACAAGGCCAGGGTTGTGGTGGAGCTGGGCGCCCGCTGTGGTCAGGGAGAGGAAGCAGGGAGCTGAGCATGGAGAAGCAAGCAGCCCATTAGAGTGTGCCTTTAGGGAAGAGCAAAGGGAAAGCTGAAGACCAGCAGCCTGAAAAAGACAAATCATGGGCAGAACACAACATAGAAAGAAAGGGGCAAAGCAGGTCAGTGGAGAAGGCAACAAGACAAGCAGAACTCGACATCCAGATAGAAGAGACTGCAACCAAACAAGGACTTACTGGATAGACAGACATGTAGATGAGCCAACCCCATCTCACATCTGGAGAGGAGAGGAGAGGACAGGACAGGACAGGACAGGACAGGACAGGACAGGAGTGGAGAGGAGAGGAGAGGAGAGGAGAGGAAAGAAGGGGAAAGGAGGGGAGGGCAGGGGAGGGGAGGGAAGAGGAGAAGAGAAGGAGAGAGAGAGTGTACTCCATTCAGCGGAGGTAAGGAAGGGGTCGAATCCAGGCATACATGCTGCTCTCAGAATCATGTTGGCCGTGACTCCTCCCTAATTGCATCTCTGCTTTATTCTTCATTCTCTGTGTTTACTTTTCTCCAGAATGCAGCAACGCCTTGCCCTTGGTGTGAAGACCCCTTCCTGGGTTCCAGGGAGAAACAGTTCTGGCTGGTCTGTGTTGTCAGGTGCACGGCACCCCCGATGGAACCACCGCCAGGACGGAGGCTCTGGTTGTGCCAGCTGGGCTTCGGGAGCCCCACCGAGTGGGCCGGGTGCATCCTTCAGTTTCCCCTCTGCCCCCAGGGTCAGGCTGTGTTGCCTGGAAGGTCACATTAACAATGGAAAGGAAAGGTGGTGAGAAGAGACACAGTACTATTGCAACCCCAGGGTTGGAAGCCCGGGGACTTCACACTGATTCAGTCCCCATGTGCGACCAGGGTCCTCTTGCACACAGGGAACCTGAAGGTGAACATACTTTGCCTCATCTGGGGTCTGTCCCAATGTCTTTTGCCTGCAAAAGATGGAGTGAAGGGAGAGTTGACTTCCTAAGGGCTGGGCACCTGACCTGCAGGGGTAGGGGGTCTCTGGATAGAGGGTCCTCATTTGGTAATCAATAAGTTAAACAGATTCCTGGCACCAGTGGCTCACGCCTGTCATCTTAGCTACTCAGAAGGCTGAAATCTGAGGATCCCAATTCAAAACCAGTCCAGGCAGGAAAGTCTGTGAGACTTTTATCTCTACTTAACTACCAAAAAGCTAAACATAGAATGGTGGCTAAAATGGTAGAGCATTATCCTTGAGCACAAAAGCTCCGAGACAGAGCCACGGCCCTGAGTTAAATACCAGGACCAGTACATGTGGATATGCGTGCACGCGTGCGTGCGCGCACACATAGATGACCAGCTGCAATCCAGATCTGAAGATTACCCCCAGGTTCTGGCTCACAGCTCACAGCCCCGGGCATGACCCTCCGGCCCCATGGTTCGCAGGTGTAGACTTCTAGTTTCCTGAGACCTCCTATAGCCATAGAACCAAACAGACAACAACAGCAAGAGGTGGACTAAAGAAAAAAAAGCATAAAAAAACTTCCATTTGAGTCTTGCTTTACAAATTCTTATACTTGAGATTACAGTATCTATTTTTACCTGATCAAGCCTTAAATTCCATTCTATTCCAACCCCAGCTTCAAAGCATTCTAAAGGCTGTGAAGGTCAACTGTTTTATATCTAACTTGCTGTGCTAACAGCAATAAATTATTTATCTGTGCTTTTTTTTGGAGGAGAGGTAACACGAGTCTGTCTCTTGGGGGTTTCTGGAACACTTAAGGGCAAAACCCACACTGAGTAGCGTTATCGGAAGTGACTCCTGCCAGAGGCTGTCCTTGCTGCCCTGACAGCAGTGGGTGTGAAGTATTCATTACTCATTCCCAGTCCAGGACACTGACTGTAAGGAAGTGGTATGGAGAAGAGGATTCTGGGTCAATTGCAGTGTCTACATATGCACGTCTTACCATTATGGATATATGCGGAGGCCTACCTCCTAGGCTCAGAATATTAGGTAAGGTGATGTGTGTGCACCACACCACTGAAGTGTACAGTGCAGAGAAAACCACGTGTCACACCCACTACACAATCCAGATCTTAGTAGTATCCTAGGGACTTGGAAAAATGGATAGGTCATCCAATACTGGGATCAAATTGTGTGTGTGTGTGTGTGTGTGTGTGTGTGTGTGTGTGTGTGCCTGCACACACACATGTACAGGCATATACACAAACCACTGCTGGAAGTTGAGCTCAGGGCCTGAGCTCTATCCCTTAGCTGTTTTGCTTAAGACTGGAGCTTTGCCACTTGAACCACAACTCCATTTCTGGCTTTTTGGTGGTTAATTGGAGAGAAGAATCTCATAGACTTTCCTTTAAATGATAATCCCTAGACATCAGCCTCTCAAGTAGCTAGGATTACAGGCATGAGCCACCGGTGTCCTGCTGATATCAAAGTTCTTGGTGAATTTCTTGGAATTGAAAGCATGGCTCAGTTGGTAGAGCACCAGCCAATGAGCTAGTGTCAGATACTGTCTTGGACAAAAAAGAAAAGAAAATGATTTCTTTTTTGGGGGGGGGTCCAGTTATGGGGCCTGAACTCTGGGCCTGGGCGCTGTCCCTCAACTCTTCAGCTCAAGGCTAGTGCTCTACCACTTGAGCCACAGCGCCACTTCCAGCTTTTT